AGGAGCTCAGTCATCTGAGCTCCAAGTAGAGCTGATACTCCTAAGCATAGAAAGGATCCTGTTGAAGTGGTTTGGGCATCTGATCAGGATGCCCCCTGGCCACCTCCCGGTGGAGGTCTGCCAGGCACAGCCTACTGGGATGAGGCCCTTAGATCAGAAATTGTCCATAATCTTTTGGTATGCTGAAGCATTAAGAGTTCCTTTCACTGGAACTAAGGGGCCGAGCCCAACTCCTGAAAAACAATCCCACACCATAATCCCCCCTCCACCAAACTTTACACTTGGCACAATGCAGTCAGACAAGTACCGTTCTCCTGGCAACCGCCAAACCCAGACTTCTGGCAATATAGTGTGTATTTAAATACAGTGCCACAGACATACTGTGGAATTTCAAGAAGTGAGGAATGAAATGGTGTCATGATGTTATGTACCTGAAGAATCTGATGGCTTGTGGAAAGAAACTGTTGCAGTGTCTGGCTGTGGAGCCCGGGTGCTGTGGTACCTTCTACCAGATGGCAGATGAGAGAACAGTTTATGTAAAAGGTGTGTGGTGTCATATGTAATGCTGGTGACTTTTCGGAAGCAATGTGTGGTGTAGATGTCTGTGATGAAGGGAAGAGAGACCCTGATGATTTTTTCGGCTGTCCTCACAATTCGCTGGAGGGTCTTGAGGCTGGAGGTGATGCAATTCCCCAACCAGGCAGTAATACAGCTGCTCAGGATGCTCTCTATAGTGCCTCTGTAGAAGGTGGTAAGGATATATGCAAAAGAGATCAACTGCATAGTCAAGGTTTGTAGGATAGCCTGCTTTTTACACTGATTTTGTTGTCGTTTGGAAACGTGTCCTGCTGCCACTTCTTCTTCTGCCATTTTAAATGGCTGTCTGGATTTCCATTGGTATCACAGGATTGAAAACATATTTACAAATCTCTTGATGGTTACAATATAATTTCATACAGGCTTATGTGTTTATGAGTAAATTCTATCATCCTAATAATTTGTGCTACATGCCCATGCCTGCAAATCATTGCCCGTCAGTTGACTATTAAAAGTACACCAGTCACCGGTTAAAAGCTGCATTTTAGCTAGCTAAATCACACTTTTATTAAAGGATATGGTTATATTTTTTTCAAGAGTGTATCTTAAAACAGTACCATGCCCATAGAATGACAGATAGAATAGAACAGAATGCCCATATATACATTGGAAGGGCCATCATTAGTTCATGTAATCACTTATCCTATCATTAATGGCCAGAAGTAGATCTGTCCCTAAAGTGATTTTAGTGATGGGGACAGAATTCATAGTCCGCATTATGTATAAACAAACATTTAGTTGAAGATATTTTTGGCATGTGTGCATTTGCTGAGATTTGGAATTCATTTTTACGGAGATAGAACAGAAGGATTTTGTCCCTGTCACTTAAACTGAAATTACTGTAAGCAATATTGTCCAGCATGAGAAACAATTCCCACATTTTTTTAAATGTACTGCTGCCATGCAACATATCAATCAGACAGATCTTCATCTGGCACAAACAGGACTAACCTCATATTACATATTAGCGTGTCTCAAAACTGATGGCAATCTACAACGGGAACCCAAACTGAAAAGCTGTTGGCTGTAAATCCAGGCAATCATTTATTGTTTAGAAAACAACAAAGTGATCATTGATCAGAGGTGTTGACAATTGGAATACAAAACAAAGTAAATAAGAAGGAAATGAAGTGAGAATAAATAACAAAATACAAAAGCAAAAAAATAGATTAATTTAATAAATTAAACATTGACAAGTTATCCCTAAAAGTTTTTGGTGTACAATTTGATTTTCACTTCCTTTTTCTTTTTAATTATATTTATTTTTTAAATTATATTTTATTTTATATATATATATATATATATATATATATATATATATATATATATATATGCCCAGTTTTTTCTGAGGAAACCCAACAGTCCAGCAAGAGGACAAGAGGACCTCGGAGAGCTTCTGCTTGTTATTCAGCAACGAAAACTGCTGGAGACTTTCAAATTGGGTAATTAATAATAATGTGAAATAATTAAAACCCATTGAAAAGCAAATGGCTATCACACCAGGAAACCAGAAATGTATCTATATCAGTGGAGTTGTTATCAGTCACAGGTTTCAGCAACTGGAATGCAAAACAATATGATTGTAAGACAAAAGTGCAAAAGGAAGACAAATAAATAAATATCCAAAAAACAAAATAAATTAATGAAATTAAAGATGAAAAAAACAGTAGAGTAAATGTGAATAAAATGAAGGGGAATCAGAACAAAATATAATTATATAGTTGGATAGTTATAGTTTTTTGCATACATTTCAACTAAAATTGGACCCTGTTATTCAGTTATTTACAGCGAAAACAGCTCATATAGTTTCTGATTTGACAGCCTGATGTGGGAAAATAAGATTTTCTAATGGTTAAGCACTTACTTTGATTAGGACGTCGTCAAAATACCAAAGAAAAAAGTAAATATTTAAAGATTTTGAGGCCTAAACAAACGTTATTCACGGAAAATGCCACCTAAAAATTGGCCTTTGTCTGCATCCTCTGGGTAAATCTCTTCTCCACAACTGACTGGGAGCATCTGGCTCTGCATCACAATGTATGATTTTCAAAGGAGCTGCATTTATTTCCTGAGGTTGCAACTCAGCCTATCATACTTTCTTCAGAAAAATCTTAATGCCCTCTTGGCATATGTGATGTGACTTATATGTGCTTGCATTGATGAAGAGGACGTGGAACGGATTTCCCTCTATGATGTGAGTTTTAAGATAGGAGAAAAGGTTGTATATTATCACAATTAGCACCACAACAGTAAACATAGCACATTAAATCAGTCGCTCTTCCCGTTGTGGTTCTATGTGCATCTTTATGGTGATAAATGTGACTTAAAGGCTCAAAACATACACTTGAGTGACACACTGGGCTATGACTATGCATGTGCCTCACATATGCCAATGCATTACTGCAGGTCTTGAAACAAATGTTGCATATTATTATGTCTGTATATTCATTGCAGGTAGTACAAAGCAAATTCTCACTTGTCTACCACTACAAAGGCTTTCATGTTTATCATGATAAATTAACTTTTACATGTCTATAATGTAAAACAGGGGCAGACTGTCTGCATATCAGATAAAGTGCAAAAAACAATTTACCTTTCATGATGTCCAGGTTCAGAGACTGGACTTACTCACATGCAAGTCTTGAAAATAATAAAGTAAGCAGTTTATTATTATTTTTTTATTTTTATTTTTATTATTTTATACCTCACAATGAGTCATATTGTGCCATAAAGCACATCTACGAGTCTGAGAAACCTTAATTAAGACCTGGATGCAGTTTAAGAAGTTTTGGTGATGTATGTTTACAGAAACAATGTAGGCAAATTTGGGTAAATGGAAAATGAACTTCCAACTGCCGCAGACACACCATCTGAAAATGCTCACTTGTGCACTACCAGAAGCTTGCTATGATTATGCCAAGTTAGCATGAATTAGGCCTAGCCCACAAATTGAGTAATCAGATTTTTAAATTTAAGTTTTAATTTCTCAGTACAATGTTACTGACCTTTTTATCGTTTCTAGGAAGGAGAATGAACAATGATTTATGATTGTCTTTCAATAGTTGCATGCAGCTCACTCCATTACAAAATGAAAATAATGCATTGGACAGTCAAATTTTATGGTAGCTTGCTGTCAACGGTAATTCTTTTTTGGGCTCCAAAAAAGCATCAGACTTTACAATATTTAATCATATTTGGGAAAAAAACAGTACACTACAGTTAGGATTTGGTTGTCTTTTTACAGTAATTTATTACAATATAAAAAATAGTGATGAAAGGTGAGACAAATCTCTAATTTTACCTTTTTATATCTGGACATTTTTGTTCAGTTTTACTCATAGTGGAGATTTTTATATTTCAGTAGTGTCAGGACATTTATTTACTTCCTTCAACGTTTTCCAGGAAGATGTCTTATTCTTTTTAAAATTAAGATTAATAAACTATTATAGCTGAATAAACCAATATCATAATCCCCATCACCATAAAAGCAATGTAGAATATTTTATTTAGGGGAACAAATAGATGTAGTTTTAGATTTGTATCCAAAATTTGTATTTTGAAAATATGCACCGTTAAGCCAAAACGTAATAACCACTCACAGATTAAGTGAATAACGTTAACGTCTTAGCAAGGTCCACAAAATATTACATAGTAAGTAAACAGTAGGTTTTCGTAGTTGACATGCTGGATGTGAGAGAAATCATTATGACCAGACGACGGGATCATAGCATCTCTGAAAGAGTGAGGCTTGTTGGGTGCTTTGGATCAGCAGTGGTGAGTACCTACCAACAGTGGTCCAAGGAGACTGGTGACAGGGTGTTGGGTGCCAAAGGCTCATCAATGCACAAGGGCTACAAATCACATCTGGTCCGAAGCAACAGAAGGGATACTGTGGCGCAAGTAATTTTTAATGATGATTACGGAAGGCATGCTCACAACACAGTGCATCACACCCTCAGAGTGCCCATGCTAACCCCTGTCCACCATCCAAAATGCTTACATTGGACAGGAATGGTTTGAGGAACATGACGAAGAGTTCAAGGTGTTGTCCTGGCCTCCAAATTCCCCAGATCTCAATCCGATCAAGCATCTGTAGGCCATGCTGGAACAACAAATCCAGTCTGTGGTGACTCCACCTTGTAACTCACAGGACTTAAAGGAATGTAGAAACAGGTCGAAATGTTTGCATTTCGCAGCTGCTAAAAAATTCACTGCAATACTTCTGGATCTACTCAGTGAAGATTTGTGCCTTCATATTTGATGTAATCAGTATCATTTAGAAAGTGTCCATACATGGTCAGCAACAATGTTAAGATAGTTTGGAGCTATTCAATACATTATCTCCTGCAGTTGCAGGGTGAGGTTTTAGCTTCTTTTCCTGACAATGTGTCTCTAATTTTTAGGTCCTCCATGGAAAAGACACAAAATTTCCATATAAACTCAAACACACCCCAGAAGGAGTTTCCCAGTAAAGATGAGGAGGTGAGCATTATAGAGACAGTATAGAGACAGTAAAATCAACATTTTGTTAAATGTATAAATTAATAAAAAGTGAAATATACAGGAGATGTATATGTGTCTAAAGGTACAGCACAGAATGTTCTTTGATATGTACTCTCAATGCAGCTGGAGTTAAAATTGTGTTTACTACGGTTTACTGTACCCTGAGCATTCAAAATAAGACAAGATTAAGAAGGACATTCTTTAAAATCTTTGTTTTTTATGAACTCTGACTTTTACCTTTTATTATTGCTAATTCAAACACTAATATTATTATTGCATTATTTTTTATTTGACCATAGTCTTTGTATTTTGCTATTCTTTGTGATTGTCAAACATATTCTGTCTGATCCTCTGTGAAGTATTTTGAGTTACATCAGATACAGAACTGTGCAAAAGTCAGAGACCCCTTGAGTGGTCATTAAGTACAGTTTCTTAATTTTGCAGGAGATATTTCTTAGATTAGACATAGTTTGTAATATAACATGTATGGTATAATAACGTATAAGGAAGGAGCAAGCAGAAAAATTAGTTTAAAAAACAGTTTTTTTAAACAGTTTTCAAAATTGGAGTAATTATTAAAAGCTACAAACAAAATGGGACTCCTAACAACCACCTGCAAGACCTGGTAGACACCAAAACTCCCCATCAGATAAACGGCACTTAAAGCTTTCATCTTTGAGAGAGAGGAGAAAATCAAACTGCTTCAGATCTGAAAAAACACATATGGTGTGTTTCTGTCCATCCCTCCACTGTGAGAAGACGACTCAGCGCTATGGGTCTGAAAGGATGTGTAGCTGTTCAAGAAGAACCTCACTGAGAAAAGGGGATAGACACAAACAAAGAAGCTGGACAATGGACTGACCACTCCAGAGTCCAGACCTCACTGAATCACTGAATGTGTTTGGGATTATTTGGATTGTGAAAAGCAGAAAATGCAAACTAACTTCTAAGATTGAACTTTGGAGGTGTGGCTGCAGATTGCTTTCTTTGAGAACATGAATTCAAGTCTCCTGAAAAGAAGGGAAGCTGTAATAAAGACAAAGTGTGGACATTAATTCATGTTTTTCCAGCTGAAAAATGAATAACTTGTAGATTGTTTAGATTGAAAATGGACTTTTGGTCTCTGATTTTTGATCAGTATTGTATGCGAAAAGTGCTAACATTTAGACTTGAACACCAGTTTCATACACATATATGTATGACATGTATGTTTGCAAAATGTGTCCCAGTTGCACCTAAAATGTGGCACAGAAGGCTTAGGACATCTTGCCCAGAAAGTCATTTTTTTTCATTCTTAGCATATGCAGCTGTAGCATCTTAAATTGTAAATACTTTTTTGATTTTTTGAGAAAACATCAGAACATGTTCAATGAGTAATGATAAAATTACTAAAGGAATTAATGAATTCTGACTGTAATGAATAGCTTTAACAATAGTGTCAATAATCAGAATATTTTTACAGTTTTTATTTGTGCAATTTAGTTTGACTGTGTACTTGAATGAAATATTGATAGAGATCATGTACATGTCGTTACCTGTTTTTGGTAGAAAAACAACCATATATCCATTTGGAAGGCTTTGCTGCCAGTGGCAGTTCTCATGTTGGTCACTGGGTTGTATGCATATTCCAAAGGTAAGTGAGTGTTCGTCTTCATTTTCGAATGATGTCACCAAAGAGAAAATTTGTCATTGTAATCTGTACCATACAGGACAAAGAGTTGAAATTGTTTTCTATTGTTTAAGGACCTGTGGTGAACCATGCTGAGCTGAGGCTGATGCTGGTGGGTAAGACTGGAGCTGGGAAGAGTGCGTCAGGAAACACCATCCTGGGTGAAGAAGCTTTCAGAGTCAAGGTCACTCCAGCATCTGTGACTGAACACTGTGAGAGAAGGAACAAAGCTGTGGATGGACGGAACATCACTGTGATTGACACTCCTGGGGTGATGGACACATGGCTAATATCAGAACAAACAGCCCACAGTGCACCTGAATGTATCTACCATCCTACTCATCGTCCTCATGTGTTCCTGCTGGTGATCAAAGTGAGGAGATTCACAGAGGAGGAGAGGAACGCTGTGAAGTGGATTCAGGAGAACTTTGGAGAAGAAGCCGTGAAGTTCACCATAATACTCTTCACTGGTGGAGATCTGTTAGAGAAAAAACCCATTGAGAAATTTATCAGTAACAGTAATGAGCTTCAGGATCTGGTAGACACCTTTGAAGGTAGAATTCACGTCTTCAACAACTATCAGAAAAATGATCGGATTCAAGTCAAAAAGTTGCTTGAAAAGATAGATTTGATATTATTTGGGTCTTTGGGCTACATTCATACACAAGAAGTGCACCAAAAACATAGCGAAGAATTAGAGGAGACGTATATTCAAAAAATTTCATTATGGGTTTCAAGTCTTTTTGCATCAGTCTTTTCCATTTTCACTTCCATTTTCACTTCAGTCTTTTACCTTCTCCATTTAATTTTTATGTTAATTTTATGCGTTATCGTTTTCATTTACAATCTTATCTGTATGTTTTTTTGGTACATTATTGCTTTTTTTGGTTTCATTTTCACAATTTTCCTTTCCATTTTAACTTTAGTCTGCTACGTTGTCACTTTAATTTTAAAGCTACTCTATTCCATTTTGTCTTCAATTTTCACTTTAGTCTCTTCCATTTTCACCTCAGTCTCTTCCATTTTCACTTCAATTTTCACTTCAGTCTCTTCCATTTTTACTTCAGTTTTCACTTCAGTCTCTTCCATTTTCACCTCAGTCTCTTCCATTTTTACGTCAGTTTTCACTTCAGTCTCTTCCATTTCCGCTCCAATTTTTACTTCAGTTTCTTCCCTTTCTACCTCCATCTTTTCCATTTTCACTTTAGTCTGTTCCATTTTTACTTCAGTCTTTTCCATTTTCACTTCCATCTTTTCCATTTTCACCTTAGTCTTTTCCATTTTCCCTTCAATTTTTACTTCAGTCTCTTCCATTTTCCCTTCAATTTTTATTTCAGTCTCTTCCATTTTCCCTTCAATTTTGACTTCAGTCTCTTCGATTTTCCCTTTAATTTCCACTTACATTTTCACTTTTGTTTTTACTTCAGTCTTTTCCATTTTCACTTTAGTCTTTTCCATTTTCATGTTAATTATTACTTCAGTCTTTTCCATTTTAATTTTTATTTTTACTTGAGTCTTCTCCATTTTTACTTTCATGTCCATTTTAACTTAAGTTTTTCACATTTTCACTGTTTTATTGTTCATTTATGGTGTTAGAGCAGTAGCAGTAAAACAGTAGAAACAGCATCTTTATATCCACACTGTCTTAAAGGGGACTTATTATGCTCATTTTCAGTGTTCATAATTTCATTTTTGGGGTCTACTAGAGCAGATTTAAATGCTTCAGTATTCCAGAAATATATTATTTTTCTCATACTGTATATTTCTATTTACCCTCTGTCTGTGTGCCCCCCATCACCCAGCATGATGCTTGATTAGCCAACATAACAAAATTGGCCAATAGCCTTGGTCATTTGTCCTGAAGTGTCAAGACTTCTGTGAGAAATCTTAGTGTTATCTTTGATTTGATAAACAAATCAACTCTGTGGTAAGAAGTAGCTTCTTCCAGCTCAGAAACATTGCAAAGCTTAAGCCTTTTCTCTAGTTTTCTGACCTGGAGAAAGTTATTCATGCTTTCATCTCCTCTAGAATTGCCTACTTTAATTCTTTGTATATTGGGATTAACCAGTCCCTATTGCATTACTGACTAGTAAGAAGAAAAGAGACCATATTACTCCAGTCCTTGCTTCACCTTATTGGCTACCTGTCCAGTTCGGGATACAGTTCAAAGTGCTTTTATTTGTTTTTAAAACACTTAAGGGTCAAGCCCCCTCGTATGTCAGCAGGATGCTCACTCCCTCTACCACACAGCAAGCTTTGAGATCATCCTCACAGAACTCGCTGGCTGTTCCTAGGGCTCGTTTGAAGCTTAGAGGTGATTGTGCGATTGCAGTCTATGCTCAGAGACTATGGAACACTCATAGAACCTCCCACTATACACCAAGCACCTTCAATCACTGATTTTAAATCAATACTTATACAAACTCGCATTTGAATAGTGAGGGGCTGTGGTTATTATACATGTTTAAGTCTGTGGTTTATATGTTTTTTTACTCATCATCTTATCTGTATTTTATCTCTTTTATTCATCTTTATCTCTTTTATTCATCTTGAGCAATTTGGTCAATGCAAGTTGTTTTAAAAGTGCTTTAAAAATATAACTTACTTACTACCTTCTAGTTCAGATAGTATTGTGTAGCTGGGGGAGACCTAGCTAACAGTTGGAACTGGACATGACAAAATTGGAGAAAAAAGCAGACATTATTTCACAGAACCGAAGGTAGTTTCTTTTTTTTTTTGTTTCTGTATATAATCAAATGAATTAATAAAACTAATGCATTACTTATTTTTCTGTTTTCCACCTTTAAGTTGTGATGCAAGTGAAGAGAAAGTATTTGATTATCTTGCTATTTTTATTTATTTTATTTTTTATTTTTTGCTTTTCAAGTTTGATCATTTTGGGTTGTGAAATGGTGATGAAAATATCAGCTTGCTTTTATAATGAGTTTGCTTCTATGAACAGTGCATAAAGTGTGTATATAACTGTAAGATTTGACTTGTTATCGCCAGCTCATTTTACTAATTTTCTCATTCCACCTTAAATGGTGCAGCAGTTAATTAGCACCAGTAACTGTAACTGCTGCACCACTTAAGGTGGAACAGGCATCTTAACAAGAATATGACAAACAGGAAGCTGTCTTATTGTTCTCTGTGGCCAAATCAGGCTGATATGTAACCATGTATGTGTTTGCCATGAATTCACAAGCTAATAGTGAGGCTAATGACACACTGCATTTACTGAAGGTAGAAAGATACATGGTTAGAGTAAATTAAATAATGGCAAAATGAAATGTTTTAAACATTACAGAATGTGCTAAGGTAAACTGGCAGTAAACCACCTAACTATGAAAGACTGATCTAGTCTGAATAGGGCTTGAGCTACTCTTTAAAAAAACAATGTGAGTAACATTGTGTCCTGTCATGGTTTTATATATCTTTTTTGGTGGCGTTATGCTGAAATGAAATGACAAAACAATTTGCATTAGGGTTAACATTGAGAAAGTTCTAGTTCTACTGCACTACTGAAAGCATTTCTAATGGTGGGGTACTATTTTTACATACTATTTAGAGTGGCAGTATGCAGTTTGGGATGCAGCCAGAGGCCAACGATACTTTTCAGTGGCATTTCAGAGTGTTTTTGATAAATTGTGCATACTTAAGGTTAGCTAACCCAAACCCCGTCGTTTTCAGAGCTATAATTAGCTGTCATTGATATTTGTTGTGCTCTCATTACTGACCTCAAGTTCAAAGCTGGTGAAAGCTAACCTCACTAGCAACCACACGCTCCAACAAGATGAAAGCTGGCCAGTGAAGCTGGTGATTTAAACATAGAATGATTTGGTAACACTTTACAATACTGGTACACAAATAAGCATGTATTAATACTTAACTAATGCTTTCATCATGGTGAATTAAGGCATGGGCTAATACTTAACACATCAGGAAATAACAAAGTGTATACATTAATAAAGAACTGGGTAACACTTTATTTTAAGGAACATATATTGGTGGCTTATTAAGGTCTTATTATGTGTTCAATAAAGCCTGAATTAGACACTTCTAAATGGTTTATTCACTACGTATTAATCTTTACTCATTATGATCTGTGTTAGTACATAAAATAGAGATCTGTTATGTGAAAAGCATAAGTAATTGCCTAATTAGTCATTATAGCTCACAATATGCACCTTCTTAATACCTTGTTATGCTGAATTACTGAGCATGAATTATCACCTAAATTTACATCTTATTAGTGTACAATAGGCAGCATGTAATTCTACAGGTTCTAGATAGCATCAATGCATTGGAATTGGAATAACATCATTGGAATTTATTGCTTCTTTAGGGCTAATAAGAGTTTAATAGGTCACTAATGCTTCAGGATTTGTGGAGCTATGGTCATCACTAATTAGAGGCTAAAAATGCTAAATAGAGTTTCAATAAGTCAATTTGTGTTCCATATTCTAAAGTGGAGTTATGATCACTAATTAAAGGCTAAAAAGGGCTAAAAAGTGCTAAGCAGGGTTTCAAGGAGTGAATTTGTTCAATTGATTTACTTTTGGTTGTTAAAATGGTTAATACTAGTGGTTTCAGAGCTTGCATGTTGTGTATAATTGATGTTTCAGGTGCTATAGCAAAGAGTAAAAAATGCAAAAATGGTTAACTGAACTTACTTTTACTAAAGACAATAACCTTTTAAAATTGAAATAACAAATTACTGCAATAAGAAACATAACAGAAGTCGTTCATTTGACAGGTTAGCACATAATACATCCGTGTTTTGATGCTACACCACAAAAAGCACCATTACAGAGTTACAATCTTACACAGGATATTTTTTTCTTATGTCATGTAAAAGCATGCCAAGAGGACCGTCCCTGTGCTTATTTCCCCTCCAGTAGGTCAATTCTATTAAATCCAAATGTTCCTTCAGAGATATTTCAGATCTGTTGCCTCGTAGCCTCCATTAAGTGGATTTGCAAATGCCCCACATCCACTCAATGTTTTGGGCATGTGCCCCTGTCATAGGCTTAACAAAAGACTCTTCATGATTGACTATGAGATGAAGATATGCCTCATTAGAAAGACAGTGATATGCTCTCCACCCATCTGATATTACTGTACTCCCACACCTCACGTACTTCTTTAGGATAGGCATTAGGTATCCTGTGGATCTGTGCTTCACAATGTGCAACACTGGTCTCCGCACATGATCTTGAACTCCCAGCATCCCAAACACCCATTACTTTCAGTTACTGCTCTTTCCCTGGGTTTACTGAAATGTAAAAGACAAAAAATAGATGTAGAAATATTTTTCACAATATTTTCTTTTTCACATTAGTCCAAACATTGCTGAAAAATGAAACTGTAAAATGACAAAACATTAAGCACATAATACTTTGTTGTAATATCTTGCACAATATGAAAATGATAATACAAAATTTGGCCCAATACTGTGTATTGCAAAATAAAATGATGACATGACTAAAATTAACAGTTAATTAACATTGACAAGGGAAATATCAAGGAATCCGGTCAGTTTAAAAATTGAGAATGGATCAAGTAACTAAGCGTTTTGTGTCTGTTTTTAGATTTTGAGTAAGATGAAAAAGAAACCTCAACCAAAACCAGTGGTGTTTTTATGACTTACTGGATACTTCATTAGAAATGAGGAAAAACTATGTTTTAGGCACACTGTGACACTACAGGAGAGTTTATCTGTTGAAACACATTTGTGTTGGCCATATTCTACCTCTTTCATTACTGGTCAGTTTCTGACCACATGACTGCTATTGTTAGGGTTGCCAGCCATCCAGTGTTTCCCTGGATTGCCCAGGTCTTTGGTCGCCTTTGCAGAAAAAAAAAAAATCATTTCTGGACACAACATCCAAACATTTTTGCATGTTCGTATTCCTTATGAAGTTTAATCTGATTCTTTTTATCCAGTTAAACCATTTACCCTAAAAACAGGGACAACTGTTTGGGAAAGGTGCACTGCTGGTGACATGCTTAGGCAAGAGGCAGCACTTTAACATGCTAACTGAAAAAATTAAGTTCTGTAGCTGAACTGATATCTGACATGTATCTCCTTAGACTGCATAATGAGAAGCGCTACATGTCCACAAAAGTTAGTAAAAAGAGAGCCAAATTTATTTTCATCAATCATCACTACTTCCCGTTTTTTTTAGCTCTTCTCATTCTTTTCATGGCAGACTTGCACACTTTACGCAGTTTGTTAGCAAGTTTGTTTAAGGTTGTGGAACTCCGTGTGATGCCCTCTTGAAGCATATCTACCTGGTGAAGATGGAGACCCTGGGCAAATCTGTATAATAGATAAAAAAAAACAATATGTTTTCACATTAAACTGCACATTTATCATCAGGGCTTATAATGAAATCAGAATCAGTTCATAAAACTGTGACTGAAAGCCTAAAGTCTGCTTCCACAGTTAATGTTATCTTTACAGGGCCCATACAGCAGTTTAGCCCATACAGCAGTTTAGACCTGCCCATTCACAACGAAATTATAAGGCATGTTTCAGCCCAGACAACTTTTTGGTTGAGCCATAATACAGGCTGGCAATCAGAAAAGAAATCATTTACTTACATCAGCTTTAAAGAAACAGTAACAAAAAAACAACCTGTTTAATTGTACCTGATAATGAGAGGTTTGAAACTGGCCATGTAAAAATGACCTATGACCTTAAAGCTCGTGAAAAAAATTATAACACAAGAAAAATGCAAGATATTCACCCTTTGAACAAAATTATATAGCAATAATATCCAGACCTTATAGTTTTAATATGCTCTCATTGCTATCATTTATCATTGCCCTTTTTAATATGCTCACAGCAATCTCCCCATACCATTTGCCTTACAGGGCACCCGTCCTGCCATCTCAAGTGGTGCTCCATGTTTTATTTATCCCAAAGGAACTCATGAGCCTTTGGAGGCTGGAGGGTATCAAGTATGCAAATGTGGAAATGTGGAAATTGAATGAACAGAAAAGAGAGCCTCATTACAGCCTTAACTAGGCCTTACTTGAATTTCTTATAGCCTGCTAAAACCAAAGATGTTATTTCTCATATAATTTTTGCTCATAACTCTGCTTACCTGGGTAACACTTTACAATACTGTCCCGTAGTTAATAAGTAACCAATCAGGAACTAAGCAGGAATGAATGAGTAGTGCTGCATTAACACTTAATTAACTACTCTTAACTACCAAGCACTACTAGTTAACTACTCAGTAAGTAATAGTTAACTAATGATTAGGGTAGTTCACTATTAACTAAACAATAACTACTGAGTCTCATAGAGAATTACTTAGTAACTATGGTTTCTTAGAATAACTACTCATAAATTACCGATCAATTCAACATTAATTGCTCAATAGCTGAGTCTGACAAGGTTCCTGGTGAACTGTTAACTGATGTAGTGTATTCCAACACTTCTAACAGTAGTGAAATACACTACACAGTGTGCAGTACTACAGTATAATGGATTATATCCTCCATTTCTATTCACAGAAACAGGTATCTGGGGGGACCACAATGTACTGACTGATGTCCCTCATGTGTTTGTTTTGATCACAAACCTTAAAAGGCTAATGCACATCTTCATATTTTGTAGTGTGAACCAATTTGCACATCAGCCTACAAATGAGACAACTGCTAAAATATTTCAGTATTCAATAGACCAGTCTGCTTATCTTTAGAAAAGAAAACACCATTCTTTTCTGCAGGAGCATGTGTGCCAGTGTATCTTCTGAAGAGTAGTTATCCTTTAAAGTCCTCTTGAGGGCAGGGTCAGTTGTAGAGAGCTCTCACGGAAATATCTGACTGTGTATGTGTCCTGCCTTCATGTTCACTTGGTTCTAAATATTACCAAGTGATTATGTGAGTTAGATAATGAATTAGCTGTTGCTCTTCTTTATTTGGAGCTAATGATGATCAGGAACAATATAAAGTGAAACACATAGTAACTCATTATAAATAAACAAGTTGTTACTTTGTTCTTCATTAGGTGTTAATGATGATCAGGAACAGTATTATAAAGTGAAACACATGGTAACTAACTATTAATGAACTAGGAATTAATGATGGTCAGAAACAGTATTATAAAATGATACATTAAAAAATAAAAACTCCTACAAAAATATTGATACAGAAATTTGAAAACGTAAGAGTAAATAAGTTGTTTATTGAGTCTTTTTTAATTTGTGAACAGTCCAAATGTGAAAACATCCCTGGGTTAGCTAGCTATATAACTGAAAATAATACACCCAAACAAAATGAATTCAAAATCTGTCATTACTAGTGAAGGAGAAACTCTGAGAGCTGAGACTGATCACAGTATTTTCTGCTAGTACATAATCATACATCTTTCTGTTTCTCAGGCACAAAGTTTTACTGCCTATTAGCTTAGCTCATATTAGCTAAGTTAACTACCTAGCATGCACTCATAACAGAACATCAGCAGCAGGTTTAATAAATCACTATTATGTGCTTATAATTCTGAAGCAACACAGTAAAACAGACATTGTACAAGAAGACCATACCTACTTAGCTCAGATTAGTTAGCAAGTCAGCTAACTTTGTCTCTACATTAGTGCTGAGTCTGAATAAAACCTTGAATCTGAATCAAAAGTCTCACATTAGCAGCCCGGGGGTCTGCCATGAGTCTGATTCACTCATCATACATCAGGAGATACAGCCAGTCAGAATTAAAATATGAACAGAATTATCAAACTAATCCACTGAGAATGCAGGATTAACTGCTCTCCTTTACCAGCACTCGCAAAAACCTCATGGGCGCTCAACAGAAACACAAAAGCTACCATAATAAGAGTCCTGTGCAACTTTACTGTTAAATGTAAGTTTATTTAATTCAATAGAGCTCTAAAATATTTATTATTTTAAATGTCAGACTTTCTATATATTTATACTCCTACAAAAAAAGACAAGAGAGACAAGATTTTTCAGAATTCAAAAAAAAGAAAGAAGAGAAAAACCACTAAAACCACTAAAAAGGTTCCTTATCATTCATTATACATCATAAACAAATGAATAATATATTCATAACATATTTTGTAAAACTAACCATTAAATAATATATAGACTGAAACTATTGTAAAATATTATTATTTTAGCCCTGCGATGGACTGGCAACCTGTCCAGGGTGTTTCCTGCCTTCCGCCCACTGACAGCTGGGATAGGCTCCAGCACTCCACTGCGACCCTGAAGGTTAAGCGGTTTAGATGATGTATATGTATATATATTATTATTTTATAATGTTTGTCCAGTTCTCCATTGTAACTTTGATGGTAGATTATTCCCTGTCCCTTCTTCTCTAAAATCTATTCAGAATCACTACCTAAGGTCAACTAAACATAAACCAAACAACATACATCCATTTTTAGTAAGTAAGTAAGTAAGTAAAGTTTATTTATATAGCACTTTTTACAACCGGTGTTGTCACAAAGCAGCTTTACAAGGAAATGAGCATTACAAAAAGAAATGCTGGTCCGAGCCCCCATGAGCAAGCCAGTGGCGACAGTGGCAAGGAAAAACTCCCTAAGAGAAGCAGGAAGAAACCTTGAGAGGAACCAGGACTCAGAAGGGGAACCCATCCTCCTCTGGTCGACACCGGATAGTAAACATTGTTAGTATAAAGTATTATAGTACAAAACAGGGTAAAAGGAGGAGCAAATGATTAATTTGAATAGTTCAGTTCATACTGCAGCAGCGGCAGCAGCAGCAGCATCAGTGGGGTCAGGTTGTGGGGGTGAGGTTTGCACGGTGAGCAGTGGCACCCAATCAAGGCAGCAGAGGCAGCAGCATCAGCAGCAGGATGGGCAGCTGTTCAACTCGGCAAAGGAAAGAGAGGAAAAACACACAGTCAGTTCTACAATGGGTGATTGATTAATTTGAATTAGTTTGAATGATTGATTGGTTCGAGTGAATAATTTTGAATAGTTCATGTAGCAACAGCAGTAGTATCAGTGGGGTCAGGTTGTGAGGGTGAGGTTTGCACGGCGTTGTACAGCAGGAGGCTCAATGTTGGTAAGCCGGTCCAGAGGGCTGGCAAGCAGTGGCACCCGATCGAGGCAGAAAAGGCAGCAGCATCAGAACGCACAGGATGGGCAGCTGTGTAACTCGGCGAAGAAAAGAAAGGAAAACACACAGAGAGGAAAACACACAGAGTCAGTTCTGTAATGGGTGACCGATCACAAATTACAGTGTTAGCGGAGACTCTGGCAGGTATAGAACTGACAGGGAAAACTAATTACCAAAGGCTTGACTATACAAGTAAGTTTTTAGCTTAGACTTAAACACTGAGGCTGTGTCTGAGTCCCAAACATTAACAGGAAGACTATTCCAAAGCTGGGGGGCTTTGTATGAGAAAGCTCTCCCTCCTGATGTAACTTTATTAATTCTGGGTACTAATAGTAAGCCAGCACCTTGTGATCTAAGTAGGCGTGATGGTTCATAGTAAGAGTCACTCAGGTACAGCGGGGTGAGTCCATTTAGTGCTTTATAAGTCAGCAAGAGAATTTTATAATCAATCCGAAATTTTACTGGCAACCAGTGTAAGGCTGATAAAACTGGGCTGATATGGTCGAACTTTCTGGTTCTTGTGAGGACTCTGGCTGCAGCGTTCTGGACCAACTGAAGCTTGTTAACACTTTTGCTGGGACATCCAGCCAGCAGGGCATTACAGTAATGTAGCCTTGAAGTAATAAATGCATGAACTAACTTTTCTGCATCCTGTAGAGATAATGCATTTCTCTATTTAGCAATATTGCGGAGATGCAGGAAGGCTGTTCTAGTAATATTAGTTATATGTGCGTCAAAGGACAGATCAGGGTCTATAATGACACCAAGGTTTTTTACAGATGAGCTTGATGCAACTGAGAAATTATTAAGTTTAAGTGTAAAATTAGACAGTTTGTTTCTAGCTGCTTTTGGACCAAGAAGCAGAACCTCTGTTTTATCTGAGTTTAGAAGGAGAAAGTTACTCGACATCCAGTCCTTTATGTCTTTTATACAGTCTTCAATCTTGCTAAGTTTAATTCTATTATCTGGGTCGCTTGCTAAATATAACTGAGTGTCATCGGCATAGCAGTGGAAGTTTATGCCGTGTTTACTGATAATGGTGCCTAGTGGTAGCATATATAATGTGAATAATACAGGTCCTAAAACAGAGCCTTGTGGAACACCATATTTTACTTTTGTGAGAACAGATGATTCACCGTTTATATTAACAAACTGATACCGATCAGTGAGGTAGGACCGGAACCAGGAAAGAGCTATTCCTGTTACCCCTACAA